GGCCCCGTCGCTGCCCTCTGTGGCCTCGGTTTTGATGCCCTTCGTGGCCCACGCTGGCTTTTCTCACGATTTATTTTGGAATCGCGCTATCGCTCGAGACTTCCTCTCGACTCATGCTGGACCCACGCTTCAGCAACCCGCCTGCTCGACCTCGTCTCCGGGGCCCGCCTTCCAGACCTGCCCGCTATAGAACTGCCCATCCGATCTGCCCGTCTGGTTCTACCACTTGTTTTCTGCTCCTTGCCCCCATCCTGCTAATATCTGTCGTGCTCCGTTATTTTCCCTCCCCGTTCCACCCGTCCTCTCTTTCCTTCTTTTAGGGGCTGCACTAAATACGGATGGCAGGTAAGGAAGATATACCCCCAAGGGGGCGCGATCGAAGACGACGAGAGTACTCATTACTAAGAAAAAAAGATTACCGATCTCCGGAAACGGTTCCGCGTGCTCCCGCTCGAGCGTTGGCTTGAGCCTACATGTGGGCCCTTGGAGGCCCAGCTACGACAACAACGGCTCCCGCTCGATACCTCCTCACAATTTACCCCGAGACACCCTTGCCAGAGAGGCCCCCGAACTCAGGAACTGCGCTCTCGCTCGAGACTTCCTCGTAATTCAATTAAGTTGGCAGAGGCCCAACAACGACGACAAGGGCTCCTGCTCGATCCTTCCTCACGATTTACTCCGAGACACCCTTGCCAGAGAGGCCCCGAACTCAGGAACTGCGCTCTCGCTCGAGACTCCCCCGTAATTCAAACAAGTTGGTGGAGGCCCGAACACGGCGACAAGGGCTCCCGTTCGATATTTCTCCATATGTATTCCGAAAGACCCTGGCCAGAGAGGCCCCCGAACTCAGGCGCGGCGCTCTCGCTCGAGACTTCCTCGCACTTCAGCCAGTGGCCGACAAGGAAGGGGTTCCCCCCGAAAGGGGGTGCAATCGAAGACGACGTGGGCGGGTATCGAGGGTTGGGGTAAACGGGATGCAAGACACGTGTGCCAGTAAGAGCGAACAGTCTTAAACTGATTGTTGATGTTGTTGTTGGTGTTGTTGTGTTAAATGTTGTTGTTGTCGTCGTCGTTGTCGTTGTCGTTGTCGATGTTGTTGTCGTTATTGTTGCTGTTGCTGTTGTTGCTGTTGTTGTTGTCGTTGTCGTTGTCGTTGTCGTTGTCGTTGTTGTTGTCGTTGTTGTTGTTGTTGTTGTTATCGTTGCTGTTGCTGTTGTTGTGTTATCGTTGTTGTCGTCGTCGTCGTTGTCGTTGTCGTTGTCGTCGTTGGTGTTGTTGTTGTTTTTGTTTTTGTTGCTAGTGTTGCTGTTGTTGCTGTTGTTGTTGGTGGTGGTGTTGTTGTTGTTGTTGTTGGTGTTGTTGAACATTATTACTTCTAAAGAATAATTATTGTTGGGACCCCTGGTACACGACCCCCCTCCAAAACCTAGGCCGCAGCTACATTTTCATCATTTTTTCGCGAAAGCTTCAGAAAAGTGGATTAGTACCGGATCCGGTTGTTTTGTTCCCCCCCGTTTTCCCTTGCAAAAAACACTATAAAATGAAATTTCTTGTTCAAATGTAATCCAATTTCAAGAATCCCTTGCAAAAAATAAGCTAAAGTGGACATTCGCGCGTGCAAGACGAAATCCTTCCAAAACCTTAGGTTTCGTAACGATTTTAACATAAAAACATCAAAAACCCAATGGTTTTTTAAGAAAAAATTGTCAAAATCTCATTCCCGCGCGCTCTTGCGGATTCGTAGGAAAACCAACACTTTTTAAACAATTCTGTCAAACGGGCTTTTGCGAGCAACTTTTTCGAACTTCTGCGACAACGGTTGCGCACCTGCCAGGGCCATCATCCCTGTCAAATAATACCATGCGGGACACATTCGTTTTTTCTTCGCGCGCGCACGCCGAAATCTCCAAAAACCATTGGGTTTTTAAGAATTTTAGCACCGCGCATCATAAAATCACACGAATCGCACCGTAGGTCCTCGAAAAACACCTGCACGACTTTTCAAAATTTCCACCCGCGCGCGCTGTCCTCTCTCTCTCTCTCTCTCTCTCTCTCTCTCTCTTTGTCTTTGTACTATGTATGTCATGCGCAACAAATGCACGATGCGGGGCACATGCGGGGCCCAAACAAGTGATCAACCTCTGCGGGTGTGTACTCCACGCCAGTGTAGTATCCACGATCGTCCGCGCGCCACGAAGTGAAGTGTCCTGACGTCATAGGGCGGGAAGCTGGGTGTGGGTGGTTCCCGAGAGTCGTGTGGATGTTTGGTAGAGCTTGCATTGCCCCCCCACGAAGTGGGGGTATTGGCTGGCGTCGCATGAAAACCCTGGCACTGGGGAGAACACTGAGCGTTCGGGTAAAATGATTGTTGTTGTTGTTGTTGTTGTTGTTGTTGTTGTTGTTGGGGGGGCGGTTTTGGCGGACCCACGAAACGCCTGAGCGTGAGCCTAATTTTCAAGGAATGCAGCCCCCCCCGCCTAAGCGAGAGCGCGAAAACGCAGCCTGGATGTCCAACAATAACACGTGTTTCGTACTTAAGGTTCAACAGCAACACCACCAACAACACCAACAACAACAACATGAACCTCAACACCGCCACCACCACCACCAACAACAGCAGCAGCAAACAACAACGACAAGAACAGAGCAGCAGCAACAACGATCGCCCAATACTTCTGAAATGGTTATGGTTACCCAGACATCCGCACGAACCTGGGGCGGGGCCTCGGGCGCTCCGGGGGTCTCGGAGAAGCGTGCTGGGGCCCGGGCTCTCCTGGCGAGCTCCGAGGCTGAGTTTGGGGGCCTTCCGGGCCGTCTTGGGGCCTCGTCGGAGGCCATTGGGCCGTCTTGAAAGGTTTTTCGGGGGCTCTGGGGCTGTTCTGGAAAATTAGGATCGCGAAAAGCGGGAACACAAAAACTGCTGGAATAGACGAATGGTGAATCCATGCCGAGGACGCCTACGGCGAATCACCTCCGCCCCCTGCCTTTTGGAATCGCCAGTGTGGCTCGGGGCCTTCTTGGGCCTCTTGGGGGCCTTTGGGGGCTTCTCGAGGGCCACTTCGGCCGTCTTAAGGCATTCCTGGCCCGCCGGCCGCCGTCGGATGCTGTGTTGGGGGCCTCTCTAGGCTGACTTAGGGCCTTCTGAGTGCTCCAGGGCCGTCTTGGAGGCAGTATTGGGCGTCTTGGAAGCCTCTTGGGCCGGCTTAGGGCCCTCGTGGGGCCGTCTTGGGGGCCTCTGGGGCCATCTTGGAGGCCTCTTGGGCGATCTTGGGGCGACCTTGGGGGGCTCTTGGGCCGTCGCGGGACGTCGGAAGGCCAAAACGAAGCACATGCCCAAATCCTCCAAAAACCGATGGAACATCAATGATGTTGGCCTCTTCGGGCCTTCTTGGACGCCCTCTTGAAGGCCTCTTGGGCCTTCTTGGAGACCTCTTGGGGGCCGCTTGTGTCTTCTTGGGCCATCTTGATTTTGGGCCGTCTTAGTGACCTCCTGGCCCGTCTGACGCCGTTGGACACCGTCTTGGGCGGCCTCTCTGGGCCGACTTAGGGCCCTCTTGGGGTACTCCAGGGCCGTCTTGGAGGCAAGCTTGGGCGGCTTGGAGGCCTCTTGGGCTGTCTTGGAGCTCCTTGGGGCCATCTTGGGGGCCTCTTGTACCGTTCTGGGGCCATCTTGGAAGCCTCTTGGGGCGATCTCGGGCCGATCTTTGGGGGCTCTTGGGCCGTCTCGGGCCGTCGGAAGGCCGAAAAGAAGGAAGTCCCCAAATCCTCCAAAAACCCTCGGAGAATCAATGATTTTTGCTTCTTCGGGCCTTCCTGAAGGACCTCTTGGAATCATTGTGAACTGTTTTGGGGGCCTCTTGTGGACCTCTTGGGCCGTCTTGGGCCATCTTGGGCCGTCTTGCTGGCTTCTTGGGCGAACTTGGAGGCATTTCGGTCCCGCTGGACAGTCTTGGAGGCCATCTTGGACCATCTTGTCGAACTTGGAGTTTATCTTGGCCGTCTTGGAAGCCATGCTGGGCCATCTTGGAGCCATCTGGACCGGGACAATTTTCGCAGCCAGGTCTTCTGGATGGCCGGCGGGACGCGCCGAAGTCCCAGGAGTCGTTTTTTGGAAAAAGAGCCAACTCCAAACAAGTAGGGGTCAGCACGCCAGGCACTCCTGTGCCAAGTCCACAGGGGGCGGCTAATTTTTGCCTCCTGGTGCCTTCGGCCCATCCCGCCACCATGCCTGGGTTGCGGAGTAGAGGCCTCTTGGATGTTCGTTTGGATATCGTAGGAGGCCTCTCGGGCGGCCCTTTGGAAGCAGTTTTGAAGCCTCTGGGGAGGCCGTTTAGGGGCCTCTTGGCGCCTCATTTGGGCCTCTTGGGGGCCTCTTGTGGGCTTCTTAGAGCCTCTTAGGGGCCTCTTGGGGCCTACTGGGGACCTATTGGGGGAGAAGGCTCGGATTGTCGATTCGTGTTCCCCCTCTTGGGCCCCTCTTGGGGCCGTCTTCAAGCCCTCTTGGGCCGCCTTGGGCGCCTCTTGGGCCGTTTTGGGGCCCTCTTGGGCCGTCTTGGGAGCCTCTTGAGGGCCTCTTGAGGCCATGTTGGAGGCTTCTTGGGCAGTCGTGGAGTGTCGGCAGCCCGAAAGCGCGAGAAAATTAAACACATGGGAAAACAGATTGAACAATGATTTTGGGCTCTTGGGGCCGTCTTTGATGTCATCTCGGAGCGCCCTTGGGGCCTCTTGGGGGCTTCTTGGGCCATCATGGGGGCATCTTGGGCAGCTTAGAACGCTGTTGGCCGCCTTGGCAGCTTTTTGCCGTCCCCGGAAGCCATGGTGGACGCCTCAGGTGTCCGAAACATCTCCCGGGACTCCGAAAACGGGCCCGGGACCCCGGGGGCTAAAGTCGGCTACGCGGGGGGAGTTTTGAACAAGTGTGCGGCCCTGGTCTCTGGGGCTCTGGACGCCCGGCATATCGTATGTATGCGTTGCTGGGGTAGTGCTTGGACGGCTGGGGCCTGGAACTCCTCGAAAGTGGACGCCGCACTCAAGTTTGCATACCACTGCGGGTTGTGCTTCAACCCCTGGTTCATCGCGAACTTCACCTCCTTGTATTGAGTCGGGCGTGCCCCCCTGCAGGGGGATGTTCGACGAGTAGATAAACAATACGCAACACATCCTCCAAAATGGTCAAGAAAATACGCTAAAAGTCGTCCCCGGACCATTTTCTGACTACTTTTGAATTGTCCCCCCTGCAGAGGGACGGGCCCGACTGAATCCTTGTAGCACGGGTCGCCCCAGACGGCCGTGCGGCACGGCCCGGGCGCCGCGGGCACCGCCTGCAGCATGAGCGCGCCCGCGGGCGCTGCCCAGAGCAGGGCGACGCCGGCGAACGGGGCCATCGGCGCCATGTGCCGGCTCGGTGTGCTGCGGTTCTCGGGGCTGAACCTAAGCGGTGTTTTTCGTGTTCGTCTTGTTTTCGTTCTCCCTCGTTTTTGTTTGCCTTCCATCCGCCCTTACCGCAGAACGAAATCGAAACGAGAACGGCCCACGACATCGCCAAAACACCGTTTAGGTCCACCCCTGGCGGTTCTCGGATGTAGGCCAGCTTGTGCAAAACGGCTGCCCGTGCTGGTGGTGCTGCTGCGGCAGAGCAGCGCGGGGGTGGGTGGAGCAGCACGTGGAGGCGCAGTAGCAGGGGGATGAGGATCAGACGGAAGAGTCTGAATGGTAGTTGCTGTTTCGGAGAGGGGCGAGCACATACAGATGCCTTCTTGTGACGTTCACGTCGCCAGTGTGGTCCATTACAAGTGCGAACGCTCGTCCTACGAGGAATCATACTTGCCTTCGACCAGTGAGCTTCGCTAACATGGCAGGTGAACACCTCCTCCTGCCCAGTGCTCAACCGTTCTCTGAGCAGTCTGATTAAAAGCTGGGCTCCGATCTGCTGAGAACTCGCAGGACGCCAGGACCCTGCCACGCCGAAAACTGCTCTTTTCGAGCGCCAAGCCGAATTGCAAACGACCGCTGGGGGCGAGTCGCTGAAGACGCCAGCGAAACATTCTATTCAGCTCCTCTCCTCCCTCCAACTAATTCTTCTCGAACCTGATAGATTCGCAAGGATCTCAAATTCGAGGGGAGCGAGGTATGACGAACTAGTCAACGCACCTCCTGGCCGCTGAAGAAGGCCTCAAACCTACCTGCCGCGTAATAGTCGCAGAAGGTAAACCAATATGGCTCGAATGTGGTACAGTATGACGACGACTGCACGTAACCGCTCCAAGGTCCTACCCCAAGCGAGGCTGCATGGTGGTCCTAGAGCCTGCCGATGAAGCCCCATGGTGTCACAAAGCATGTAAACCTACTAGAACACATCTGCCTGAAGAGCGTTTTGCTAGAGGGTTATAACAATCGTTGAAAGGACCCCTGGCGAGTCCTACGGGGGGACGGTGAAGCCCGAGGAGCCTCGACCGTAGTCGCGGCCGGAAGCCAATTCCGCCTGAGGCTTCCTCACAACGTAGGAGCTCTAAAGCAATTCCACGTAAGACGTCCAAGCCGATAGGCCGATTCGCCTCAGATTTCCCGACACACTACAACCACAGAAGACTCCCAGCAGCCGTTTCGCCGGAGACTTCCACACAATTCATGACAACAGAAAAATCTCAGCGGCTGTTTCTCATAAGAGCGCCTCGTACTTTATGACCACAGAAGACGCCCAACAGGTGTTTCGCCAGAGTCTTCCTCACAACATATGACGAACACGCTTGTCTCTGGCCTGGGGCAACCATGTTAGATCCCCACTCGGTGGCCTGGACACGTGGTGGCACCTGACACCTAAAACCAATGGTTCCAGCTCAGAACAGCCAAGGACAACCATGTTCGATACCACCCCTCAGGGGTATCTACACCATGACAGGCCAATCGCAACCCACAAGTATCAACTCCAACCGTCGCTGCCAATTAGCAACTGGCCGGGAATCCGACTATCTGCACAGGTGCACACTTAGCTACCACGCGGCCCGTTCTGGTTCGATCGCGTTGGGCCTCAGGATGCGTCAGATCCGCCACCGTGCCGCCAGGCACGGAGTAGGCGTGTCCTCAAGTCCTTTGCCCAATCCCTGGGGCCTCAACCCTCACTCCTGAGGAGTCTTTTAGGGGTCCGGGCCCCAAATTCGGAAATTTCTTGGGGTTTCCCGCGTGCCCATTGTGCCCCGTCGCGGCTTCCCGCATGGACTTTCTGGGCCCCCAAGAATGACCCAGGACGGACCAAGAGGGCTCCAGGAAGCCTCCAAGACGGCCCAACAGGGCCCCGATACGCCGAAAGATCGCTCCAAGACGCCCACGATGGCCCCAAGACGACCCAAGAAGCCTTCAAGAGGCTTAAGGCCCCGGGAGGCCCGAGAGGCCCAAATCAGTGATTTCCCTTGGGTTTTTGAACTGCTTGGCCTTCTCGTCCTTTCGGCGGTCCCAAGAGGGGCCCCAAAGGGGAAACCTGACCAAACTTTTCGAGCCCTCGGCCCCGAGGGGCCCCCAGGAGGCCCCAACAGGCCCCCACCCCCAAGAGGCCCCAACAGTCCCCCCAAGAGGCCCTAAGATGCCCCCAAGAGGCCCCAAAGAGACCCCCACGAGGCCCCAACACTGCCCCCAAAAGGCCCCCGAGAGCGCGCCGGAGAGACCCCAACAAAAACATCCCTGAGAACTCTGACCCGCAACGCAGGCACGGTGGCAGAATGGGCCGAAGGCCATTGGATATGCATGCACGTGAACTTTCGCTGGAAGCGTCGCCAGGCGAGTCCAGCGCGGACACCTGAAATCCGCGCGGACATTCGAAAATTTATGCTTGTGCACTTTTGTTATTATTCTAGTCCCATATGACCAGCTGCCACAAACCTGAACCAAAAACCATGCCATCTCATTGCAGGTAGATTTTTACTTCCGCAGGCTTCCGTCGGCCTTCCGCCGAGGGAGAGCTGGCGACTCCCTCGATCCTCGAAGGCGAAGATATCTCTGGAGCGTCCCCTCCACTGCGAAGAGGACGCACGAGGCCGTCGCCTCAGCTTGTCGCCAAATATCAGCCCGTCCTTCCGCGCCTCGCACAAGCACTTCCATAGGAACTGCGGGGGCACCACAGACAAACTCTTGATCGTCGGCATCATCGTCAGCCTTGGCGTCGGCGGCAGCGTCAACGGCGTCGTCGGCGACGGCTTTGGCTTGTTCGACGTCGGCATCGTCGGAGGATGCGTCGTCGTCGGCGTCAGCGTCGGCGTCGTCGGCGTCTCCGCCGTCGTCGTCGGCGCACAGCGAGCGGCCACAGAACACGCTGGGCGGGCGCCAAGAGGGATGTGCTTCCGGCCGCCTCCGGGCCTGCGGACGCACTGAAAAGACACGACGGCGGCGGGATTTCCGAGCTTGGTCCGCTGGAGGCCCGCCTGAAGCCCGAGGGCACACGAGAAAGATAGCAGCCGGCGACAATAAATCGGTCAGGGGGCGAGGTCGACCGCGATCGCCGCGAGATGGTCACGGCGGCGCAGGTCTGGGCTTCCCTGGCGCCCTGTCATCGTGATCGTGCCACGACGGTGCGTCTTGCTTGACGACGTCGGACGCTACGATCGTTCTGCTGCAAGGGAGCCGAGGGGAAGATATTCGGAGAGATGGCGACCGCTGCAGGGGGGAAACATGTTGAAAAGATGGAGGGACACCACCTGCTGGGTGAGCTTGTATCGGAACATCGGCGAGACGAGGTGCTTGACCTGCGTGGAGCACTGCATCAGCTCCTGAAGGAGCCCGACGCGATGCGCTCAGACGAGGGGTCGACGATGCCTGCGGTGGCGGCCGCAGCAGCAGAGGCGGCGGCGTCAGAGCTGAAAGTCACGACTGCAGCCGTCGCCAAGCGACGACATCACGTACAGTCATCGTGCTGCCAGAATAGGCGCCAAAGCATGAGCGAGGCCCCATTCTGTCTGTAGGAGCGCCTGAGTGAACAAGTAATGCTGAGAGGAACCACCATGGAAGGACCTATAGCGAGCCCGCTTCCGAACCCAAACTTTCAAACTGCTCATTACGTCAGCGTCTTCACTGCATGTTACGTATGTCGGTACGTTGCTTCTTCCCGCGCGAAAGGCTCATGCCATCCGTACCTCTGCTGTTGCCTCGCTCCCCATGCCCCGTGTGCCAGATTATGCACGCTGCTATTCCTGAAACGCTCTGACGTCTGACAGCGCGTGAGACGAGGGGGGTGAAACGTGGAAGGGGCCAAGGAGGGATACGGGAAGGGGAAGGAGCGTAGTTGATGGGGGGAAAGGATGATGAGGATGCGGGCGAAACTGATGACATGATGACAATGGCTGATCCTGTAGCGGCTCATCTGGGATGCTTGCTGCTACGTTACAGTCGCGGTCGCGACATACACCTCCGACGCGGCGCAGGGGCGCCGAGCCGAGGCGAACAGATAAAGTAAAGCACTAGCTTTGGGTCGGGCATGTCCTTCTACAGGCAGGTTTTGGACGAAATTTAAACATGTTCGGGTATAATCAAAACTACTCAAAAATAACAAACAAATCATTCCCATACTATTTTGTGACTATCTTCTAATATTCCTCCTGTGCAGGGACAGGCCCGACTTAACACTTGCTGGCTGCTGCCCATGGTTGCTGCTCCAGCGGCCGGAGCGCTCGCGCCCTGATCTCCCCGCAGGGCACTGCTCCCTCGACAGCCGCCCCATGTTTCCTGGTAGTGGCCAGGGTCGTGGATGCCATGACAATGGACACTCTAACAATCCGACCATCGAATTAAAGATGTGTTCCAAATGTGTAAAATATGTTCAAACGATGTTTCATACATGTGGTTAACAGATCTAACACATAGTTGAAACATCTTCTAGACACCTGGGAATTATTCGGCAGCATGCTACCTCTCCATTGATCGTCTTCCACAAGGGCCAGGGGCGCACTGGCTGGCACTGTGGGCAGCCTGCCCGCTTCCACCTGCGCCAGCACTGTGGGCGACCCCATGAGTCGGGCGGAGACCTCCGCTTCACTTCTCTCAAGCTCCTGCGCTGTCGACTCGTCGCCATGCCCGTCGCTGCCTCCGCCTCGCCCTTGGGGAACTGGCTGCCCTACTTTTCCGCGGCGGAAGTCCTCGCCCTTCGTGCTCGCAGCGTTTGGGGTGCACTTCCGACGCCAACGTATGGCGGATCCGAGGTCAGGCGAGTAGGGGGGGGGGAAGCGCATGAGCAGACTCCTGAGGAGAGCCAGGGGGCTCTTCGGCAGTGCACCGCTTACACCCGAGCTCTGTCAGGGCGGAGGACTGCCGGGGTCGAACTGGCCGCCAGTGCAGAAACATCGAGTCGGAAGGCTCCCCCTTCGGCATCCCCTGGACAACGCAGGATCGGGCGGCCAAGAGGGGGGCGTCCAAGAGGGGGGGGCGCAAATCATGGCTGGCAGCGTGTGCGCGGCCCAGGGCGGGAGGCCGGGGACATAATGAAATAAGAAGAGGCGCGATGAAATCTGAGGAAATATCATGGCCCACGCCATGATGTCCACCTCCCCCCAGTCACCACCCCCCTTGGCCGCCCCCGACAGAAGGGGCTGCTCCACCACCTCCCGCCTCAGAGCCTCCATCACGCCAAGCGGGGCCTGGGCAGGGACGCGCGGCGAAGAGAGGCCGTCGTTGGAGGACTCTCGCCCGGGAAACGCCGCCCCCTTTGGCCGACGGCTGGCCCAGGCCAGCCGGGGCCCGGTCGCGAGCCCTGGCCGGCCACCAAGCAGCTCCCCAAACCCGTGCCAGCGGAGGGCGGGGTCCTCTGCGGCGCGGAGGCCACGAAAAGGAGGAGGAGGAGAAGGAGGAGGAGGAGGAGGAGGAGGGGGAGGAGGAGGAGGAGGAGGAGGAGGAGGAGGAGAAGGAGGAGGAGGAGGAGGAGGAGGAGGAGGAGGAGGGGGAAGGAGGAGGAGGAGGAGGAGGAGGAGGAGGAGGAGAAGGAGGAGGAGGAGGAGGAGGTGGAGGAGGAAGAGCAGCAGGAGCATCTCCTATGCCTCGAAGGGGGGAGGAGGGAGGCACGAACCCCGCCTCTTCCCCTCCCCTCGAGGAAGGTGGAGGGTGAGGCGGATGATGCCCCTCTAGGAGGAGGTCGGGCCCCGAGGAGGAAGAGGAGAAGGAGGAGAAGGGGGAGGAGGAGGAGGAGGAGGAGGAGGAGGAGGAGGAGGAGAAGGAGGAGGAGAAGGACGAGGAGGAGGAGGAGGAAGAGGAGGATCGGCTCCACGTGGCTGGTTCCAGAGGCCCTGAACCCCCCAAGCGTTGCCACATCTCGAGCCACCGTTGACCCCCTCTGGCTTCCGCCGAGGGCGAGTCGCGCCGCGGGCGAGGCCCTGTCAGGAACGCCGCGCGAGGCCAGATATCCGGTCGTGGGGGGACCTGGATACCCTCGACCCCGGTCAAACTGGAGGGCCCAAAGAATCTACCCCACCACCACGTCGATTCCTCCTCACTCCTCTGTCCAGCGATGAGGGAGGGGGGGAGGGAGGTGGTTGTGGTGGTGGTGTATATTTCTTGGCCCC